AACGCACTCATTCATCCTCAAGGCCAAGCGCTTGACTGGATATGCCCGATAAACGTTTTGCTGCGTTCATGAACGAATAAGCAGTCGCTTGAGCCTCTGAAGTGCTAGGGTTGGATTATGGAGTATTTCTTACCGGGTTCGGTGTTTGGGCCCCGCCACCACGTGGTGTAGGTTGTGGTTAAATTATCCCGAACCAGGAGGTCCCGGGGGTGAGGCTGGGCATCTGGAATGGGGACACGTAAGGCGGGCGCCAGCCACGGAGTGGGGATGCTTGGCTTCCAAAGGAGAGTTTAGAGCGATGGCGGTAGGCTATCCTGAAATGATCTGACCGGTACGGTAGAATGATACTTTTAACGAGGCCCAAACAAGTTCAAGTCTGTTTACTCGTTTTCTAGGGGTGACAGAGGCCGAGGTCGAGGTGGGCGCTTTGGGTCCAGAGGCGGCCCCGGAGGAGGGTGAGTGCCAGTTTTAACATCTTTGCATCATCGGTTAGCTTCCACTGCAGTCGTCTATTGTGAATAGGAGATTGGCCTTGACTAATGTTACCTGCTTTTGTGCGATCCAGCTGTGGGTTCAGAAACAAAGCTAAATGAGTTGCTAAGCCGCCCGATTACTGTGGTGAATAATTTGGGTGTTTTTCTGGTTTTAGGTTCAGGCCATTTGTTCCACACATCCCGTTTGATTTCTACTTGGTGAGTACCATGGCCCCTGGTCACCCGTTGACATAGAAATGGAGCCTGGACTCTTTTCACTTGTAGTTTCCTGGAGCCCAGCATCTCCCTGTTCACGAAGTCAGATGGTGGTTGCAGTTGGAAAAGGGATTGGTGAATGGAGTTGGGGTTTTGAGTCAGCTGTATGTTGCTCTACGTACAAAAACAGTGTACGCAGGGTGGGTAAGGTAGTTCTTTGGCTACTGTGGCCGGTGACATGATTGTAATCTTTGTTCCAAATGTTAATTGTACGCCTTCTTGGCTTATCTGTTACTATGAAAATAGTGACAGCTTCTATTATGGCTGTTCTTCCAGCTTGGATCCTTGTTTGAACATCTTAAAGAGTAAAAACAAGTGTTGTAGGATTTTCTACTTTTACTTTTTTCTATTGCAGCAACAGAAAAACCACCTCTCCTGTGTATTATTTTTGCTGTATAGTATACAGTTGTTTGTTTCTGCTGTAGTGTGAAATGGCCTTCCCCCGGGTCAAGCCAGCGCCTGATGAAACTTCCTTCAGTGAGGCCTTGCTGAAGAGGAATCAGGACCTTGCTCCGAATTCTGCTGAACAGGTATATTCTTTTGGCTTCCTTCCTGAGATTTTGCTAAGAAAGCTGGAAAAGTGAATAACTACTGGTGAGGTTACTGTGACCAGAGCCTGAAGTCCACAGAGGCTTACAGTCGTCCGCTCTTACACATTGGGTATACCTTCCAAGACCCCACTGGATGCCTGAAACCGCGGATAGTACTGAACCCTGTATATATTGTTTTTTTTCCTGTGCATACATATCTATGATTAATTTATAAATTAGGCATAGTAAGGGATTAATAATAGAACAATTGTAACTAAACTGTAATAAAAGTTACATGACTGTGGTATCTTAAAATGCCTTATTGTACTATTCTTACTCTTCTTGTGATGACGTAAGATGATACCATGCCTAAGGGATGAAATGAAGCCAGGTGAATGACTGAGGCACCGTGGCATGGCCTTAGGCTACGATGAGGGAGAGGGCTACTGGCCGAGTAACAAATACAGTGTGGCTATGCTGGACAAAGGGATGATTCACGTCCCGAGGGGGTCGGCGTGCAATTTAAAACTTAACTGTTTGTTTGTAGAATTTTCCCTTTAATATTTTCAGACAACAGTTGACTACAGGTAACAAACCACGCAAAGCAAAGCTGGATAAGGGGGGATGACTAATTGTTCTCCTTGCTTCTCACTGTGGCTGGAGGGAGAGTGCCAGATGATTATAGAAACAGATTTACAGATGTGTTCATATTTTTATTGGGGTGTCAATGATATCAAACAGTTGTTGTCTTCTGGCATATTCAAGGCCAGAAGATTAGTGTTTTCAAAGCACTATGTGGAAATAGACTCGGCCTGTATGGAAAGGATTAGGGGGGATATTCAAACTCAGAGAAGTTGCTTATAATTTTTCACCTTAGCTTGTTTTTGTTTCCTGCTGTTTTTCAGGCCTCTATCCTTTCTCTGGTGACAAAAATAAACAATGTGATTGACAATTTGATTGTGGCTCCTGGGACATTTGAAGTGGTGAGTTTCTGATGACTTAGTCTAGCCGTAGGGCAGCCTTGGTAGTGTGGAAATTTCATTGGCTCCTGTCTCAATTCTTCTATTATCTATTATCCAAAGCTAAGCCTAAAATGGGAAAGTACAGTGGAATTTCTTTGTGGAACTGATCTTGGGACAAGACTTGTGTCATTGTTATCAGCTAGCCAAGACTTATAATCGGCTAGCCATGATGTATCAGGCTTTCCATGTGGTGGTTTGGGGAATATGATTTGACCTCTGCAACGTCCAAGTCTGGGTAATAAGAAGCTGTGTTGTCGAGTTCAGAGAAGAACTAGGCAGTCTTTTCCCCCCTGAAATCCTTTTTCCAACAGCAAATTGAAGAAGTCCGACAGGTGGGATCATATAAAAAGGGAACAATGACCACAGGACACAATGTGGCTGACTTGGTGGTCATCCTGAAGATTCTGCCGACGTGTGAGTGTGCCCCTCTCTGGCCATGGGAACAGACACAGCGCTCGGGCTTGGGGCATAGCGATCTTTAAAGCTCTAATTTCTTTTGAGAAAGGTTGTTTGGAAGATAAATGGGAAATTTATATTTTTAATATTTGGGGGTAATAAGAGACAAATTCTGTAGTCTGTGTCTGAAAGAATATCTGGCCAGTAACTATAGGGCAGTGTTCCTCAACTAGGGGTAATTTTGTCACCACCACCACCACCACCACCCCACTCCCCTGGGGGACATTTGGAAGTCTGGAGCCATTTTTGGGCTACTGACATCGAGGGGATAGAGGCCAGGGATGCTAAGCATCCTGCAGGGCACAGGATTAACCCTACCTCTCACCCCCAAATAAAGAATTATCCAGCTCAAAATGGCATTAGTGCCACCCTACTGTAGAAAAGGGTTGTGGGTACAGGAGGTGTCCCATGCTGAGCCTTCCAATTTCTCAGTCCTGGCTACTTCCCCTTTTCTATTACTTGCCCTTGCTCCAGCCTTGAACATGGCGCAGATATCAGTGCAGAGTAGCTTACAGATGTATAGAAAGTCTGCATAATAATAATGATGTTCTTTATCTCCTTTTCTGTCCTTCAAGTGGAAGCCGTTGCTGCCCTAGGGAACAAAGTCGTGGAAAGCCTAAGAGCACAGGATCCTTCTGAAGGTTTGCGTTTGTTGCTGGACTTGTATTTAGTGGTCATAGGAGCCAGGTCTGTAATTATAAGTGCACTCTTCACAAAGTCAGGTCAGGCTAGAAGGAAGCGTGAATGCAGAGTTTTCTGTTGGGGGATCTCCAGCGGTCAGAATTATCTCCCTTCCTTTTCAAACTCCATTCTAAACCCTCATTCTGTACTTGTGCTGCTTTTTACAAACCTATCTGTCCCCCAGCCTGCCCTTACTTTGGTCACCTAACGGACATGTACGAGTTAGTTTTTGGTTTTTATTTTTCAGTTTTGACCATGCTGACCAATGAAACTGGCTTTGAGATCAGTTCTTCGGATGCCACCGTGAAGATTCTCATTACGACGGTGCCACCCAATCTCCGGAAACTGGACCCAGAACTCCACTGTTAGTCCTTTTTTCCCCATTGCTGGGAAACGGGGGAAATTCAGAATGTGGTATCAAGTCTCTATGGAGTTTCCTTAGCGTGTTGCTTCAGCACATGAAACCTACTGGGACCTGTTTTCCCAACTGTGCTGTCTCCTGTCACTCGGAGACAGCTTTGCCAGCTTGCTAGTGAAACTGCCAAAGACAGGATGGCCAGCTTGAGAACTTCAAAAGGACTGAGGAAATGTTTATGGAGGGGGTGGGCTTTGGGAGCAAATCATGCATCTTGTATGCTTCTAGATGTCGTTTGGGGGAGGAGGAGTGAGGTTTGGACAAGTGATGTGCTGATCTGAACATGGGGAGGTTTTAAGGAATTAGATTATCCTGTCCTCTTTCCAACATACTGACCTGTGGCAGTGGGATTGAATTGCTTGCTCAGTAACAGGAGTGTCATTTTGGCCTGTCATGCTTGTCTTCCAGTGGACATCAAGGTGTTGCAGAGTGCCTTAGCAGCCATCCGACATGCCCGCTGGTTTGAGGAAAACGCTTCTCAGTCCACGTGAGTCCCTCCCTCAGCATTGATACCCTAACCCGTCTAACTGCCATGAATCACACGATACCCCCATACTTCCTGTGACAGCCCTTTTTTGGCTCCAATCTTCTGTCTGGATTTTGATTTTTACCTTAAGCAAGCAAATTTAAATTGAGAGAAAGGACAGAACACGCCGTTCTAGAAATAGCTTCAGCTCTGGAGCTCAGGGGCGGAAGTACATGACCAGATTACTTTTCACCGCTGGGTCCCTCTTCCTTTCAGAGTCAAAGTTCTCATCAGGCTGCTGAAGGACCTGAGGATTCGCTTTCCTGGCTTCGAGCCCCTCACACCCTGGATCCTCGACCTACTCGTAAGTAAAGGGCAGCTGGAGTTCCTGATCGTCCCTCTGTAAGTCGTTACTCTGACGTCTACCACAAGCTGAAATTTGGTGAAGGTTGAAAGAAGTTTCATTGGGGGATGAGTACTCCAGTAAAGACTGTTACTACCTCACTGGGTTATTGGAGTATTAAATGAGAACTGTTTCTGCCCCTTCGCCTTTTTCCTTACCACTGTCATTTCATCAATGTGATAATGGAGAGAACGGACTAGATGAACAGTCACTTGGCTAGACCTTCATAACCAGTTTTCCTCCTGAGGGTTGAGGTTTTAGTTTGATTAATGATCGATTGCCACTTGTGTGCATGCCTACCAGATCTGTTCTTTTCCAGGGGCACTATGCTGTGATGAACAACCCCACCAGACAGCCTTTGGCCCTGAACGTGGCGTACAGGTACAGTGTCTCTGGGCTCGAGGCTGGGTGGAAGCTGTCTTGTGTGTTCTTCACGACCTACCTCCTGTGTTTCAGGCGTTGCCTGCAGATCCTGGCTGCAGGCCTGTTCCTGCCGGGGTCGATGGGCATCACGGACCCCTGTGAGAGTGGCAACTTCAGAGTACACACAGTCATGACTCTGGAACAGCAGGTATTGGGACGGCTCTCAAATGGTGTGCTGTGCCACACTCTTGAATACTCCTGGTCAGAAGGCAAAGGGAATGTGGTCTTTAGGGGTCCAGGATTTGGGGGCTCTCACATAACTTTGATCTTGAAATTAAAAGCTGTCGTCTTCTCTGTTTTCATGAGAATGTTATTCAAATAAAAGTATTTCGATTTTCCTTATTTGTCCTGGTTTTGCTCTTTCAGGACATGGTCTGCTACACAGCTCAGACTCTGGTCCGAATCCTCTCGCATGGTGGCTTTAGGAAGATCCTTGGCCAGGAGGGTGATGCCAGCTGTGAGTGACTGCTGTGGATTGGGCTCTGTAGGGTACTCTGGTCTACCAAGACGCTCTTCACTAGTCATATGTCTTAATATTTCCACGGTATACATCATGTCTTGTATGCTGGGCTACTTGTCTAAAATCACCGTTTTCTCTTCTAGATCTTGCTTCTGAAATATCTACCTGGGATGGAGTGATAGTGACACCTTCAGAAAAGGCTTATGAGAAGCCACCAGAGAAGAAGGAAGGTGAGGAAGAGGAGGAGAACACAGAAGAACCGCCTCAAGGGGAGGAGGAGGAGAGCATGGAGACTCAGGAGTGACCTTCCCTTCTCTTTAGCCCCTTTCTTACCCAAGGGGAAGACTGGCGCCTAAGCTAACTGCTACTGGGCTTTATATGGGGGCATTTCCAAGGGATAAGGGAGACAGGAGGGAAAATGAAAATAAACTCGATGGAAATAAATGCCATCCTACTGAGTTCTGATGTTGGCTTAGCAGCCCAAAGTCTCCCATCTATAGCGAAGCAGGATACCAACTTTTCCTCCCAATACTGTAGAATCCCCAGCTCCCGGAAACCTCCCAACCAGTACTTTGTTGTTGAAATGTTGTGAACTGTTCATGTCTGGAAATGTTTTTTTTTTTTCTAAGAAAAAATAAAGTACTTCCTAGTAGGGCTCTTGGTCTTGTTTTTCCTTGGCATTTGGCGGTCTTTTTTACTCTCTGTACTCTTCATTGAAAATGATACTCAAGTCTTTTCATTGTAAACACTGGATCACACTTTGAAGCTGTATTTGAACTAAAGTACAAAAAGACTCCTGGAACCTTCCCATATACCAGAATAAACTAGAAGACTGTTTAAACATTTATTGAATTAAATGGTTCTAGCAAGACTGCTACTGTAGTCAAGCCAGTGAAATCAACAAAAGAGGGTAGATGGGTCATTCACCTTGACTGCCTGCCCTTCAAATCCTCAGTGTAAACAGGAAAAGGCGAGGTCACAGAGAACATGCTGCCCCAAGCCCCAACAAACAGCCATGTAACAGAAAGTCCCTCCCTGGTTAACTAGGCTTGAAGGCAGAGGTGGGCCTTGAGTATGCAGCTTTAAAAAATTCAAAGATACAGGCCTCAGCTCATCCTTGGAAGCAAGAACTGTAATAAATCCTTTGGGATCCTGAGTCCTGTACACAGGTTTCTTTGGATCCCGACATAAATGGGTAAGACTTAAGTGCTTCAAACACAAACCATAGGACTGCCCTTTTATGTTCCAAGGTTTGCAGGGTGTCCTGGAGATACTGAGGCAGCCGGGAAATAGTACTTGTGCTATCCTGAGGCCATGGGCCCACTTCTGGCCTGTTAATTGCTTGGGGAGCCAGGGGGATAAACTCCTGAATCCAGCATTGCCCTCCTTCGGGCTGTTTCCTTGGCAACACTGTGGTTTAGTCTCCTCAGGCGTTCCTACAAAACAAGATTCGGAATCTTAGGGCTGGCCGAGTGGCGCGTTGGTTAAGAGCTGGTTTGGGATGCCAGAGGGCCCCAGTTTGGATCCCACATATGAGGGCCAGTGACACTGCCCTCTACAGCTAAGATGCTGAACAACAGCTCAACCTGGAGCTGGGCTGCCATGAG